TGTAAAAAAGAAATAAAGCCTGCAAAAATGTAAAACAAACAACAGATTGCAAAAGATAGTAGGACCAACCCCCAAAAATTCTTCAAATATATTAATAGTAAAATGGTCCGGTCCGAGCATGTAGACTCTTTACAAAATAATCTAGAGTGGGTGACTTGGGACAAAGAGAAGGCAAATTTATGAAATACCTTCTTCCAGTCTGTGTATACAAAGGAGCATGGGGGAGCTCTTGTCCATAATGGGCATGGTATAGACACAGCCCCAAATGATCCATATTGGCTCACAATTGATATGATCCAGAAATATTTAGACAGAATAAAGGTGAATAAAGTACCTGGACCAGATGGCATACACCCACGGGTCCTTAAAGAATTGAGCTCTGTCGTTTCAAAGCCATTGTTTCTATTTTTTTAGGGACACTTTAAGGACTGGCATAGTACCACTGGATTGACATAAGGCTAGCACGGTGGCTAAATGGTTCGCACTTTTGCCTAGCAGTACTAGGGTCATTGGTTCAAATCCCAACCATGGCACCACCTGCCTGGAGTTTGCATGTTATCCCTGTGCCTGCGTGGGTTTCCTCCGGGTACTCCGGTTTCCTCCCACCCTCCAAAGACATGCTGGTAGGTTACTTGGCTCCTGTCTAAATTCACCCTAGTATAATAGGGATTTTAGATTGTACGCCTCTTGAGGGTTAGGGACTGATGTGAATGTACAATATATTTGTATAGTGCTGCATAAATTGACAGTGCTATATAAGTACCAGAAATAAATAAATGTGGTGTCTATATTTAACCTCCCTGGCGGTATGATTATTTCAGATTTTTGGTGCTGAAAGTGGTACCATTATTTTGCATGGAAATATGTACTTTTTTTATTGTAGGCTGTAATATTTAGGAATAACTCACTGAAATCTGTACGTACAGGAGTCTATTAAACATCCCGGATATGATAAAATTTGAAACACAAAATCATAAATTATAATTTAATAAATAATCATAAAAAAATAATAATATAATAATAATACATTTAATTCAATAATATAATCAAACCAAAAACATTGAAATTTGAAATATAGCGCCATAATAAGTTCGCACATTGCTGAGCAAAGTCGCAAAATCGTTTTCAGTGTCTGATGACGAATTTCCCCACAAATCATTATCACTCAATTCTGCAAGTGGTTCTGATTTACTATCGCTGTTCTCTAGCTGATCTAAACTGCTTTTGACCTAAAGGGACACTTTTTGGACGCCATGGACGTTTCTCAGTTTCCAGGCAGAAAGAACAGACAAAATGCAGGCGGGGCGCAGGACAAAGCACTAGGGACAAAATGTATGTGAAATTGGTTGAGACAGCAATGTTTTACTATGTAAAATGTAAAAAAAAAAAAATGACATTATTTAAAATTTTTAAATTTCCAGCCGGCCGGCGGCGGCGCCCGTACGTCCCGACGTCACAGGGACAGGACACAGAAGCCGGATGCCGGCATCGGCCGAAGGAGATGGCCGGGGACGCTGCAGGGGACACATCGTGGGAGCGCAGGGTAAGGTAAGTGAAGAACACATGCCGGAGCAGTGCCGCATGGTATTCCCGAGTGTAGCTCGGGGTTACCGCTCTTGGTACTGAAATGTTACCCTGAGCTACACTCGGGAATACCGCCAGGGAGGTTAAAAAGGAATCAAAATCTTTACTAAGTAATTATTGACATGTTAGTATAACTTCTTTAGTTGGGAAGATACTGGATAGTTTAATAAAAGACCACATAGATAAGTTCTTCCTTGAAAATAATATTTTAAGCAACAGACAGAATGGATTTATGAAAGACAGAAGTTGTAAAACAAATCTGGTTTCTTTTTATGAGCAGGTGAGCAAAATCTTGGACAGAGAAGTGGTTGTGGACTTTAATTTTGCAAAAGCATTTGACGTAGTTCCCCATACATGGCTATTGTGTAAAGTAAAGTCTACGGATTTGTATTCAGAGAGTAGTGGTTAATGATTCATGCTCTGCATGGTCTAGGGTTGTCAGTGATGTACCCCAAGGTTCAGTGTTGGGACCCTTACTTTTGAATATATTTATAAACAATACAGGGTCCGGGATTAAAAATACAGTTTCAGTCTTTGCAGATGACACCAAGTTTTGCAGTGGAAAAATGTCCTTACAGGATGTCTCTAACTTACAAGCCGACCTCAATGTACTATTTAATTGGGCAACTATGTGGCAAATGAGGTTTAATGTTGATAAATGTAAGGTTATGCACTTGGGGGCTAAGAATATGCATGCATCATACATACTAGGGGGGGACAACTGGGGGAATAAATGGTGGAGAAGGATCTGGGAGTTCTGGTAGATCACAAGCTTAATAATGGCATGTAATGCCAAGCTGCGGTTTCTAAAGCGAGCAAAATCTTCTCATGTATTAAAAGCGGTATAGACTCCAGAGAGAGAGATATCATATTACCCCTGTACAAATCATTAGTAACACCTCATCTGGAATATGCAGTTCAGTTTTGGGCACCAATTCACAAAAAACATTGGGGAACTGGAGAGAGTGCAGAGAAGGGCAATCAAACTGATAAGAGGCATGGAGGAGCTCAACTATGAGGAAAGATTAAAATAATTGAATTTATTCTCTCTTGAGATTAAGGGGGGATATGATCAACATGTATAAATACATCAGGGGTTCATATAATGAATTTGGTGTAGAGTTATTCACCCTGAGGTCATCACAGAAGACAAGGGGGCACTCTTTACATCTGGAGGAAAATAAATTTAATCTCCAAATACGGACAGGTTTCTTCACAGTAAGAGCTGTGAAAATGTGAATAGACTCCCTCAAAAGTTGGTTCTTGCAAGCTCAGTAGATTGGTTTAAAAAAAGATTATTTCCTAGATACACATAATATAACGATACTAACATTTATAGATAAAGTTGATCCAGGGAATATCCGATTGCCTCTCAGGGGATCAGGAAGGAATGTTTTCCCCTGCAGGAGCAAATTGGATCATGCTTTGCTGTGTTTTTTTGCCTTCCTCTGGATCAACTGTGGGTATGGAATTATAACCTTTCTTTTTTTTTTTTAAATGGTTGAACTAGACGGATGTTTGTTTTTTTTCAGCCAGACTAGCAATAAGTACTATACATACTGTAAATAAAGTATTAATAGCAATATAAAGATTTTACACATACTAGGTAGATAATTACTGTATATAATAATCCATGTGTATGTGGCGCTTGTTTCTTAATAAAAGGATCAAAAACCTAAAATAACATAATAAATTTTGATTGAAGTGTACTCATAGCAGTATGGTATGTGTTCTGTTTGATATACCATATTTTTCGCTCCATAAGACGCACCCGACCATAAGACACACCTAGGTTTTAGAGGAGAAAAACAAGAAAAAAAATATTCTGAACCAATGAACTGCAGACATAGTACAGGAAATGACCAGAGACTGCAGACACAGTACAGGAGATGACCAGAGACGGAGGACACAGTACAGGAGATGACCAGAGACTGCGGACACAGTACAGGAGATGACCAGAGACGGAGGACACAGTACAGGAGATGACCAGAGACTGCGGACATACTAAAGGAAAAGACCAGAGACTGCAGACACAGTACAGGAGATGACCAGAGACTGCGGACACAGTACAGGAGATGACCAGAGACTGAGGACACAGTACAGGAGATGACCAGAGACTGCGGACATACTAAAGGAAAAGACCAGAGACTGCAGACACAGTACAGGAGATGACCAGAGATTGCGGACACAGTACAGGAGATGACCAGAGACGGAGGACACAGTACAGGAGATGACCAGAGACTGCGGACATACTAAAGGAAAAGACCAGAGACTGCAGACACAGTACAGGAGATGACCAGAGACTGCAGACACAGTACAGGAGATGACCAGAGACGGAGGACACAGTACAGGAGATGACCAGAGACTGCGGACATACTAAAGGAAAAGACCAGAGACTGCAGACACAGTACAGGAGATGACCAGAGACTGCGGACACAGTACAGGAGATGACCAGAGACTGAGGACACAGTACAGGAGATGACCAGAGACTGCGGACATACTAAAGGAAAAGACCAGAGACTGCAGACACAGTACAGGAGATGACCAGAGACTGCGGACACAGTACAGGAGATGACCAGAGACTGCAGGCACAGTACAGGAGATGACCAGAGACTGCGGATATAGTACAGGAAATGACCAGAGACTGCAGACACAGTACACGATATGACCAGAGACTGCGGACATAGTACAGGAGATGACCAGAGACTGCGGACATACTAAAGGAGATGACCAGAGATTGCAGGCACAGTAGAGGAGATGACCAGAGACTGCGGAAATAGTACAGGAGATGACCAGAGCAGGGGCGGACTGACAACTCATGGGGCCCCTGGGCAATAGGGGATCATGGGGCCCCTGTGTCCTTGCCCAAACTCAAAAAAGCCTATGAAAAAGGTACCAGGGGCATCTCATGGGGCCCCCTACTGACCCGGGTACTCGGGCAGTGCCTGAGTTTCCAAATGGTCATTCCTTCCCTGGACCAGAGACTGCGGACACAGTACATGAGATGACCAGAGACTTCGGACATAGTACAGGAGATGACCAGAGACTGCGGACACAATACAGGAGATGACCAGAGACTGCAGACAGTACAGGGGGTATGACCAGAGACTGCGGACACAGTACATGGGATGACCAGAGACTGTGGACACAGTACAGGAGATGACCAGAGACTGCGGACATAGTATAGGAGATGACTAGAGACTGCAGACAGTACAGGGGATGACCAGAGACTGCGGACATAGTACAGGAGATGACCAGAGACTGCGGACATAGTATAGGAGATGACTAGAGACTGCGGACACAGTACAGGAGATGACCGGAGACTGCGGACACAGTACAGGAGATGACCAGAGACTGTGGACACAGTACATGAGATGACCAGAGACTGCGGACACAGTACAGGAGATGACCAGAGAATGCAGACAGTACAGGGGATGACCAGAGACTGCGGACATAGTACAGGGGATGACCAGAGACTGTGGACACAGTACAGATGACCAGAGACTGCAGAGGGTACAGGAGATGACCAGAGACTGCAGACAGTATAGGGGATGACCAGAGACTGCAGACAATACAGGGGATGACCAGAGACTGCAGACAGTACAGGGGATGACCAAAGACTGCAGACAGTACAGGGGATGACCAGAGACTGCAGACAGTATAGGGAATGACCAAGGGAATGCGGACCTATGGGGAGGGAGGGGGAGCGGGTACCTGAATTTGACAGGTACCCGCTCCCACTTCTGCGGAGTTGTCCTCCCTTTAGTGTGGGCACCCGTCTGTGCCAGGTGCCCACTGTGCATGAGCGAGAATGGCCCAGCGTCTTCTGGGACTTGTCATGTGCCATAGGGACACTTGACAGGTCCCAGAAGACTGCAGTACCATCAACAATGTGCAGCGCTGCTCGCCTATGCGCTGTGGGTACCCGGCTGTGAAGCCGCAATCTGTCACAGCCGGGTGCCCACAGTGAAGATGCCGGCGCCGGGGAGAGAAGACGGCCGGTGAGACCAGCCATGGTGAGGACACCGCTGGACCAAGGTACAGTTAAGTGTCTGTAGTTTAAAAGTCAGCAGCTATAGTTTTTGTAGCTGCTGACACTTTTATTTTATTTAAATCAGCTGGAACTCCGCTTTAACTTTTTTGTCAGAGTATAAATCTATACTTGTCCCATGCATGTTTGGAGCTATTTACTGTTGACTGGCTCTCTAACTCTGCTGATAGTTTATTCCAAGCATCATCTACCCTTTCAGTAAAATAATACTCTCTTTGATTAGTTTTGAACTTTCTTCCAGTTAGTTTCAAGTCATGTCCCCGTGATCTGGATTTTGGTTTCATACTGAAAATACTGCCCTCCTGAACCTTATTCACCTTCTTGATGTATTTAAAGGTTTCAGTTATGCCACCTCTTTCTCTTCTTTCCTCCAAACTGTACATATTAAATTCCTGAAGTGCCTCTTGATATGTTTTTTCAGACTTGAGCATTACAATAGAGTAAGTTAAAATGCACATTTTAATGTGTGTTACTGCAATGCATGTCAAAACATATGTTTAGCTGCTGTGACAATTGGTGTTAATGCATACTGGGTGTTTTTTTTTAAAAAGCAGTTGCATATCAATTAATGTACAAGTTGCGTGCTAAAACATTAAGATTACGTTTTTGGGTCTGTCTTGCAACCACTGTCAGCAGTTTTCATTTTGCATGATAGTGTGGCCAAATAGGGAATGTCTGCCTCTTTTTGTTGTGTCACAACTGCAAACATTTATTTAGTGATGAATTTAAAATTGACTCTAAACAAAATTCAAATTTTTCATAAATATTCCACACACATCCACTTAATTGCACTGTAATTTATTTTTCATGAAATTGTTTCTTATTGTGTTTATCTGCCTCCTTGTGATATTGTCTGTGAGCTCCCAAACCCCTAATTTCCCCTACTCACTTCCATTTGTTTGAAACAAACAGTGCACATTAGTTGGGGTCATGTGCACACCTCTATGCAAACTACACATCTCATAGTCTATAGTCTCTAGTCCAGCAATGGGCAAACTACGGCCCACGGGCCATATACGGCCCGGCGGACCTTTTAATCCGGCCCGCAGCCAGGGCAGGCAAACATGGGCTGTCAGCCAGGGCTGTCAGGATGTGTGTAGGCGGGGCAGCGTGACGAACGTGAGGGGAGCTAGGCTCCTCTCACAGTCCGCCCTGAAGACCGGAACGGCGCGGGAACACAGCGAGAGGAACGCGCGGAGCAAAGGTAAGTGAATTGACACAGGGGGGACTTGGCTTACTACTTGGGGGGGAATAGTACTGTGAGGGATGAAATACTGTATGAGGGATGAATTAATATGGGGGATGAATTAATATGGGGAATGAATTACTATAGGGGGATGAATTACTATATGGGGGATGAATTACTATGGGGGATGAATTACTATATGGGGGATGAATTACTATATGGGGGATGAATTACTATAGGGGGGATGAATTACTATATGGGGGATTAATTACTATGGGGGATGAATTACTATGGGGGATGAATTACTATATGGGGGATGAATTACTATGGGGGATGAATTACTATATGGGGGATGAATTACTATGGGGGATGAATTACTATATAGGGGATGAATTACTATGGGGGATGAATTACTATATGGGGGATGAATTACTATGGGGGATGAATTACTATATGGGGGATTAATTACTATGGGGGGTGAATTACTATGGGGGTATATGGGGGATGAATTACTATGGGGGATGAATTACTACGGTATATGGGGGATGAATTACTATATGGGGGATGAATTACTATGGGGGATGAATTACTATATGGGGATGAATTACTATGGGGGATGAATTACTATATGGGGGATGAATTACTATGGGGGATGAATTACTATATGGGGGATTAATTACTATGCTTACTATGGGGGAATATTACTATACTTACTATGGATGACACATACACATCATTCATCTACTCTTGGTCCGGCCCCCGGGTCCAATATATGAACCCATTGCGGCCCTCAAGTCAAAAAGTTTGCCCACCCCTGCTCTAGTCCATTTCAGAAGTGAGAAAGAGAGGGTAGCTATGTTCTTTCTTACAGTGGGACTATAGAGGATGAAAGTAGCCAACCTCTAATATGAATTTTGGCCACAGCAGCAAAAAAAGGATCTTGTAGATTTGGTAGAGACTGAGAGCAATAGAAAGGTCTTTTTTAAGTTAAAGTGGTTATAAACCTCAGACATGAAATATGAACAAAGAGTATTCCTCTATAGTGCGTATTTGTCTCAATAAAGAGCACTAAGTTTCACTTCTGTCTGCTGCCTGTTCCTCTGCCATCAGCATGAATCACTTCTGATAAGTTTTCCTGACACCAAGAGAAAAATGGTGACAGGGGAGGGAGCTCCAGTAGATTGACAGCCTCAGCTCTGTTCTAGTTAGCTGTGTAAAAGGGGGGGGGTGTCCCTTCCCTCCAGTCAGCTTTCAGAGCTCTCCTCACTGAGCTTGGCAGAGTGTAACTTCAGCATCTCTGCCCCCTTTTTTCTGAACTCTTAGACAAGCTGTATAAATTCAGCACTTTTAAAAGCTGTAGAGAAGAGAGAAGGTGCAGATAAACAGGTACAATGTATCTAGGAGGATTTGTTTCTTCTCTGTGTATCACCTGAGGCTAGTCACTTCACTTGGTATATGTAAGGGCTTATAACCACTTTAAGTATGCATACCTAAATAGAATATATATTTTTTAATGACACTTTAACCTCAGATCTTTTACACAGCTGTGCCAAGGAGCACCTTTTTTTAACATACACAGATATGTTCATTATAGCAGCTACTTTATTATGCAAATTCAGAAGAGAAAACAAATCTGCCCCTAATTTGCATTATACAAAAAAGGAAGCAACACATTAACAATTGCAAACAATAAGAGCTCCTTCACATGGGCATATGCAGTTAGGTCCACATATATTTGGACACAGGCATAATTTTCATACTTTTGGCTCTGTATGCCACAAGAATAAATTAAAATGAAACAATCCAAATGATTATGAAGTGCAGACTTTCAGTTTTAATTCAAGGGGTTGAGCATAAATATCAAGTACAAATTTTAGGAACTGCAACCATTTTTATACATAGTCCCTCCATTTTCAGGGGCTCAAATGTAATTGGACAAATCAATATAATCATAAATAAAATGTTCATTTTTAATATCCTATTGAGAATCTGTTACTGGCAATGACTGCATGAAGTCTGGAACCCATGGACATTACCAAAGACTGGGTTTTTCAACTTTCTGATGCTTTGCAAGGCTCTAACTGCAGCTGTCTTCAGTTGTTCTTTGTTTGTGGGTCTTTCTGCCTTTAGGTTTGCCTTCAGCAAGTGGAATGCATGCACAGTTGGGTTGTGATCAGGTGATTGACTCAGCCATTGCAGAATATTCAACTTCTTTTTCCTTCAAAAGCTCCTGAGTTGCTTTTGCAGAGTGCTTTGGATCATTGTCCATCTGTACTGTGAAGCGGCATTCAATCAACTTTGCTGCATTTGGCTGAATCTGGGCTGACAGTATATCTCTAAACACTGCAGAATTCATCCGGCTGCTTCTGTGTTCGGTCACATCATCAATAAACACCAATGACCCAGTGCAACTGGAAGCCATGCATGCTCATGCCATCACATTGCCTTCACCATGTTTTACAGATGATGCTGTATGCTTTGGAACATGAGCTGTTCCAAATCTTCTCCACACTTTTTTCTTCCCGTTGTTCTGGTACAGATTTATCTTAGTTTCATCCATCCAAAGAATGCTTTTCCAGAACTGGTCTGGCTTTTTAGATGTTTTTTGGCAAACTCTAATCTGGCTTTTCTATTCTGCAGGCTTATGAATGGTTTGCACCTTGTGGTGAACCCTCTGTATTTGCTCTCGTGAAGTCTTCTCTTGATTGTAGACTTTGACAATGATACGCCCACCTCTTGGAGAGTGTCCTTCACTTGTCTGGATGTTGTGAATGGGTTTTTCTTTACCATAAAGAGGATCCTGCGATCATCCACCACTGTTGTCTTCCATGGACGTCCATGCCTTTTTATGTTGCTGAGCTCACCAGTGCCTTCTTCTTTCCTCAGAATGTACCAAACTGTTGATATGGCCACTCTTAATGTTGCTGCTATCTCTCTGATGGATTTGTTTCATTTTTGAAGCCTTACAATGGCCTGTTTCATTTGCATGGACAGCTCCTTTGAACGCATGATGTAGGTTCACAGCAATAGATTCCAAATGCAAATATCACACTTAGAATCAACTCCAGACCTTTTACCTGCTTAATTGACGAAGAAATAACAAAGGAGTAGCCCATACCTGGTCATGAAACAGCTGTTGATTCAATTGTCCAATTACTTTTGATCCCTTGAAAAAGGGGGGATGGCTATTCATAAGAGCTGTAATTCCTAAACCCTTCCTCCAGTTTGGATGTACATACCCTCAAATTCAACCTGAGAGTGTGCACTTTCAGTCCATATCCATTCAATAGCTATAGCTTGAATACGTTTTGGTAAATACCTGAAAAAAACTAAAATTGTACCTGTGTCCAAATATATATTGACCTTACTGTATGTATTTTCTGCATTAAATGCAGGTTTTTATTAGCAGAGCTAGCAAAAGATACTGTTTAAAATACACACCTAAAGTATTTGCTGTTAGGCGCGTTCAGACCTGTATGCATTTAGACACATACAGTTCTTCTTTTATTCCAATACATGATTACACATGTAAGCGTTTATACATATAGAGGCAGCTGTCTGTATGGACTCATTGATTCTTATAGTGCTGCATTTAGATGCGCACAAAACTATACACTGTGCGCATTTAAACGCAGTATTTTTTCTGCCTGTGTGAATAAGCTCTAAG